CTTTTCAAAGTGCTGGTAGTGCATTCAGATTTATATCAACTGAACACAGGAGGTTGGTGGCACCTTTAATTGGGGAGGACAGGCTTGTGGTAATGGCTGGAGCGGAACATGGTTTCCATGTGTTTGATGCCATTCCATTTACTCTGTTCCGGTCGTTATTGTGAGCTGTTCTCCCCTCAGCAGCCTCCACTGCAACTGAAGCATGCCCACAATATAAAAATACATGCAGGAGCCTCATGTATACTTGCTGAGGTCGTGCACGTGTTTACATGGTTCAGCACATGCTTCAGGTGATAGAAATCTGAACGCAATACCAGCACTTTAAAAGTTGATGTAATTATACTTTCCTGTTGACATCGCCGATTGTCTCATATTCCTACCACCAAAAGGGCCAACCGGTAAAGTACGTTAAAATATAATTGTATTCATCATTCTGGCTTGTAGAGGTCGTGAGAAGAAACATTCCTGATTCAAAACGTTCATTTCTGACCGATGTAGAATTCAGTGCAATTCAACGTTGGTTTTCCAGGCAAGATCTTGATACATAATTGAGATCTTATTTTGTTCATTCTTTAGTAATAAAGTTAAACTTTAGGATGAAAGTTATGAAAGTTATGACACGTATCATTATTGCCGCGTTCATATCCTAGTCGAAACTAGGAAACTCGACTTGCTGATTCGTTGAACGCAGCACGCGTATAACTAGGCTACAACCATGTAGGAAATGTCCGAGTTTCCTAGTTCCAACTAGCATTTGAACGCGGCATATGTCAGAGTTCTTCAAGAAAACTTATGACATGTGAGTTCACATTCCCCTTATATCACAGAACTGCCAAATTCAGCAGTGCTACACTACACATAACACGCTTTGACTATAAAGTATTAGAAACTTGCAATAAAGAAATGGCCTGTTAGACGACGGCAAAAATAATTAATTAGGAATATGTTTACCTTTAGATGAAATACTTTTAAGTCCCGATTTGATAGGTCAAATTCTGCCTCATCTGCTCTACATTTGTAGCGTTTCCACTGCGTTCCTCTGCAAAGTTTTTCACAGTCCGAACTGAAACACCAGGTAAAGCATTTCCGCTAAATGTGCCACAGGAGGAAACTACAGTGGTATCTTCTGCTGACTGAAACACTCCAAGAATTGTTTTCTAAACTGGCTCTATCGGTTTTGCGCACGAACGCTCGAATGGTTTCCCCCAAATGACACAATATTTGCGTCTGTGCTGTTTTACCTGTGGCTGCAGCGCGCGCACAGGTGAGAAAATGATAGGGATTATCTATGATGATGATGGCCACCTGGTGGCGGGCAAAATATCCTTCATACCTGAACATTACTAATTATTATTGGCCGCTTCTTCTTCTTCTACTTTGATATCATGGCGTTCCGCAAACAAACGTTTATGGTGCATGCCGCCACCTGCTGTGCTGAAGTGTGCGAGCAATCATCGTCTGCCTAATTCTGTACTACTAAAAAAATTAAAATATATAAATAAATCTTATAAATCCCTACTTATAATTACAAAAACTCGCAAGCCCCCCAACCCATTAAACTTTATCTATATCATGCTGAAACAATCCACCCTTAGGATTATTCAGCATGTCTACAACCATTTCAACAGTAACATCTGTTACCCCCAATAAGTCTGGCATTTCTGCTTTCCACAACCCGAGTCATGTTGATAACCTTACCAATGAAGACTATGAAATTAACTTTATTCACAATCAATGTCCTTTGACACAGCACATTCATGAGCGCAAGGTCTCGAAACCATGCCAGGACCAGCAGAAACACCAGCCCAGACATTAGGTCCACTTCGTACAGGAGCAGCCATGAAAGCTCCATCATTATGCACTGTAGGACCATCAATCTGTCTTACAACCTCTGCATATGATACATAATGACTGATTCTATATCTCTGAGCCTCTCTAGCCTCTCTCTGCACCTGGTATCCACCAAATGGTGCACTATCCCCCCCACAATTATAAAACTTAACCTTCACATTGCTCCCACATTCACAGTAATCATGTTCCCCTCCACACTTGGCACATATTTTATTTCCTTTACACTGAACAGCTACATGTCTCATTCTTTGGCATTTAAAACACAGCAATGGGGATGGGACAAATTCTCTGACATTGAAACTAACAAATCTTATCTGTACTTTTCCAGGCAAAACCTTCTCAAACCTCAGCAGCACTGATAAGCTTTCACTTCTTTGACCCTCTTTCCTACTGATCACCCTTTTTGCCTCAATAACTCTGCCTCCCTTCACATTTTCTTTAATATCATTTTTTTTTTACATTTACATTTTAGTCATTTAGCAGACGCTCTTATCCAGAGCGACTTACAGTTAGTGAATACATCTTCTTTTTTTTTTATACTGGCCCCCCGTGGGAATCGAACCCACAACCCTGGCGTTGCAAACGCCATGCTCTATCAACTGAGCTACATCCCTGCCGGCCATTCCCTCCCTGGACGACGCTGGGCCAATTGTGCGCCGCCCATGAGTCTCCCGGTCGCGGCCGGCTGCGACAGAGCCTGGATTCGAACCAGGATCTCTAGTGGCACAGTTAGCACTGCGATGCAGTGCCTTAGACCACTATCATCTATGGACATAGATATTGGGACCCCAGTGATGACTCCCCTCAACCAAGCATAAGCACCAGGGACATGGCTTTTAATCTTCTTCCCATTAAGCTTTTCAATTTGCAGAATCTCCCCTTGCTGAGCCTGGCTACCATAAAATATGAACAATCTACCATTTCCAATTAACCAGGCTAATTTGACTTTGCCTATCTCTTTCTCTACAGCAGGGTTTCCCAAACTCGATCCTGGCGCCCCCCATGGGTGCACGTTTTGTTTTTTGCCCTAGCACTGCACAGCTGATTCAGATAATCAAAGCTTGATGATGAGTTGGTTATTTGAATCAGCTGTGTAGTGCTAGGGCAAAACAACTAAACGTGCAGCCGGGGGGGGGGGGGGCTTCCTACCTTTTGCTTCCTACCCTCTTTATGTTTTCTTTACTAGACACGCCACTGCTTTCAGTATCATGATCTCTCTTCTTCCGGTCTTTCCACTACAGACCATTCGGGTCCTAGACCCTCATCCTCCAGCTCCATATCATCAGAACTGACACCCATATTGTTCGCATTCCAGCACAGCTGTTGCTTCTCCAACCGTTTCTCCATTCCGTCCGCACTACTTGCCGTCATTTTGGCTGTCAGACTTCCAAACTTCTCACGCACCAACAACTCATTCACCAAGTCGTAGGTCTCACTGCAAAAACTGCCGCCAAACCAAAGATTATGGATATACTGACAAGATACATGTCTCTCCGCCCTAACAATGGGAGTCGTTGTCCACAAAGCGGCATGGCGGGCTATCTAGCTCCCGCCTATCCTTCGATTATTCCACACTGTCCGTGCTTTCCGGGATCCTTGGGATGTCCCTACTTCTTCTTCTTCTTCTTCTTCTTCTTCTTCTTCTGTGAGGTTTAACGACGGTTAGCATCCAATATATGTTGCGTTACCGCCACCAACTAGACTGGGTATATAGTATATCTATTATACATTGTGATACTAAATGGGAAAAGGAAAAACGACCCTGCCAACTAACCCTACACTCATTAAAAACCCACCACCCTATTCCACTATTTAACCCTATCTGATCCTACCCCGGGCCAATGGCCTGGGAGGACAGGACACCACCCCTCACACCCTGTAACTCTTCTGAAGTCAAATCTCGTACACCCAAGTACTTCTCTGCCGCTGCCACCACAACATCTATTGGCCTCTCCCTCTGTTCTAGCACAGATCTACTACTCTCAAGTATCCTCTCAGGATCCCTCACCCTTGACCCATCCTCCTCTACTTTCTTCACTGCCTCAGCATATGACACCTTCTGTACTACTCTGATCCTGGCCACCTCAACCTGCCTCTCTGGCACCGGACACTTCCGATCCCCAGCAACATGGGCACCCCTACAGTTGACACACACAACTTTTTCCACGACACTACACACTCCTCTGTCCCATGCCCTCTTGCACTGCTGCAACATGACCATAAACATGACACCTGAAACACTGCAGTGGGTTCGACACAAAAGCTCTAACAGGATAACTGTTATATCCTAACATGACTTTGTCGGGTAAAGACTCTGACTCAAAACTCAAAAGTTCTGACTCCTCTGTTTCACCACTAGGTCTGCTTCGCACCAAACAGCGAGCGTCACACACCGGGAATCTTCAACTTTAATTGCTCCACCTCCACACTTAACGCTACCCCAGAAATCAGTCCTTTCACTTTCACCATTTTCCTAAGAGCAAAGCAAACAGATCTTGACCGAAGGGATGTCCCTACCCCATTGAAGTTGAAATGTAAAATGGTTCAGATTAGGGTTAGCTAAGGGTAGGGGTTAAGGTTAGGGTGATAATGCAAAGATGACATTATCACTTGTTGGTGTAGATAAGACTTTTAAATTGGCACGATATACTTCTGACAATAAAATGAATAAAGTGTAACTAATTATTTTGACAGCTATCAGATTGATTACAATTACATTTCTCAGAAGATTGCATTATTTATCCTGGATGCCATACTAGCAAATTGTTTAGAGATAATTAAGTTATCATATCACTAACACAACATTAGTATATTCGTACAATGACCAGATAATTCAGAACCAATACAGCAGGACATCCTTTTGTCCCATTGGTGCCTGATTCTTTAAGACTGCTCTGCATGGAGGCCACCATGAGATCAAGACTCGATCTTAGTTTATCATAAATGACAGGCCATAAAAAAACTAAATATAATCTAGCTCTGCACAGGCTGGCCCAGATATGTGTCAGCAATGGCATCAATAACGTCTAGGCCTCTCACTGACACAGTGAGTGACCTCAGTTTACCATGTGGGGAATGAGAAAGTCTACCTCTGGGGAAGGGTAGTGTTTCTCCACTCCTTTGCAGCTTATTTATAAACACAAACAGAATATATGTTTATCTGGAGACAGGCAGCACCACAGAGAAGGTGGTCTAAAGAGGAAACTGTTTGTCTGTGTTGCTATCTACACTTCTCTGGATCGTTGTCTAGAAAGTGAGTTGAAATGCAAATAGTTTCAGATAATTCTAAAAACAGAACATTTTATTATTATATCCTTGTTCTGAGTTTGGTGGTCTGTGTCTTGACTGGAAAATGTCTGAATGCCCTTCTTTTGTAATTTTTTTAACGGTGGAAGTTTAAGGTGAGTGACACTTTACGACCCTTGTTCAGAATAGTTTTTATCTCAAATGTACTTACTAAATCAGTGGTTTTCAAACCTCTCATTGGTGACCCCCAGACATTTCAACATTTAGTTGTAGCCCTGAACTAGCTCACCTGATTAACATATTGAAGGGCTTGATGATTAGTTGACAAGTTGAATCAGGTGTGCTGTGGAATAGTTCAAATACATAGAATGGCTGTGGGTCCCCGAGAAGAGGTTTGAAAACCCTTGAACTAAATGGAAATTCTTTCAAAATACATATGGGTAAAATTGTGACATGCAGCTGCCTGTAGACTTCATGTATATTACAATGTCTGAGAATGTCACTGTCATATCAAGAACAAATAGAGGTAAGAATAGACAGATGGCACAATCAGGAACATAAAGTGAAAAGGGAGGATTCGATATATCTAGATGGAGGCTCCGAATCAAAACACGAACAAAAAAATCTCTAACATTGACTGGGTCCTCTTGCTCTTCAGTCTATTTTTGTGCAATCTTATAAATGTCCTGCGATTTCACTGAGTTTTGTGGATCCCAAAATTAGGTGGCTTATCACAGTCCCGTGTAGCTCAGTTTGTAGAGCATGGCGCTTGCAACACCAGGGTTGTGGGTTCGATTCCCACGGGGGACCAGTATGAAAAATGTATGCACTCACTAAACTGTAAATCGCTCTGGATAAGAGCGTCTGCTAAATGACTAAACTGTAAACGTTATCCATACACTGTATCCATTGATGACATTAGCCCAATGTTTCCTATGACGCATTTGAAGATCAGGAAGTGTCGTTTTAGCGTGTTGCCATCTTGTTTCATGGGCAATTTGCTTCCTTGCTGTTCAGAATCCGTCGGACGTCCCTAACCCATTGAAGTTGACATTTAAAATGGTAAGGGTTTATGGTAGGGACGTCCCAAGGTTTCCAGATAGCACTATCTGTTTGAGCTACTCTAGGAAGTGACGTTGCAGGCTAGCTCGGTGCTGCCACATATCATTTAGTATCTCAAATTGAAGACCGACTGGGGTACTGCAGGCAGAAAATTATCCTTAACTTCTGTGTGCGATTTTAAAATAATCAGTTCTAGGACATACATCGGCTGAAATAGAAGCAAGTATTGGTACCCTGATTGTGTTCGGGAAAAAATGGTAAACCCACAAATATTGACCACGAAGATCGCCATACTCCCATTGACTATAATGGGGGATCCTTCTTTCTGAAAACATTGCTTGCAGTACCCGTCGGCCTTGAACTTTACATCCTCAATCAAATCAAAGTGTATTGGTGGCCTACACAGATTTGCAGATGTTATCGCAGGTGCAGCGAAATGCTTGTTTCTAGCTCCAACAGTGTACCTAACCATAAAATAAAATAAAATACACACATAACCCAGAAATATCAGAAGGAGCAATGTCAGAGACCGGAATGAATATATACAGTTGAAGTCGGAAGTTTACATATACCTTAACCAAATACGTTAAACTCAGTTTTTCACAATTCCTGACATTTAATCCTAGTACAAATTCCGTGTTTTAGGTCAGTTAGGATCACCACTTTATTTTAAGAATGTGAAATGTCAGAATAATAGTAGAGAGAATGATTTATTTCAGCTTTTATTTATTTCCTCACGTTCCCAGTGGGTCAGAAGTTTACATACACTCAATTAGTATTTGGTAGCATTGCCTTTAAATTGTTTAACTTGGGTAAAACGTTTCGTGTAGCCTTCCACAAGCTTCTCACAATAAGTTGGGTGAATTTTGGCCCATTCCTCCTGACAGAGCTGGTGTAACTGAGTCAGGTTTGTAGGCCTCCTTGCTCGCACACGCTTTTTCAGTTCTGCCCACACATTTTCTATACGATTGAGGTCAGGGCTTTGTGATGGCCATTCCAATACCTTGACTTTGTTGTCCTTAAGCCATTTTGCCACAACTTTGGAAGTATGCTTGGCGTCATTGTCCATTTGGAAGACCCATTTGCGACCAAGCCTTAACTTCCTGACTGATGTCTTGAGATGTTGCTTCAATATATCCACATAATTTTCCTTCCTCATGATGCCATCTATTTGGTGAAGTGTACCAGTCCCTCCTGCAGCAAAGCACCCCCATAGCATGATGCTGCCACCCCGTGTTTCATGGTTGGGATGGTGTTCTTCGGCTTGCAAGCGTCACCCTTTTTCCTCCAAACATAACGATGGTCATTATGGCCAAACAGTTCTATCTTTGTTTCATCAGACCATAGGACATTTCTCCAAAAAGTACAATCTTTGTCCCCATGTGCAGTTGCAAACCGTAGTCTGGCTTTTTTATGGTGGTTTTGGAGCAGTGGCTTCTTCCTTGCTGAGCGGCTTTTCAGGTTATGTCGATATAGGACTCATTTTACTGTGGATATAGATACTTCTGTACCTGTTTCCTCCAGCATCTTCACAAGGTCCTTTGCCGTTGTTCTGGGATTGATTTGCACTTTTCGCACCAAAGTACCTACATCTCTAGGATGCGTGGTCCCATGGTGTTTATACTTGCGTACTATTGTTTGTACAGATGAACGTGGTACCTTCAGGCGTTTGGAAATTGCTCCCAAGGTTGAACCAGACTTGTGGAGGTCTACAAATATTTTTCTGAGGTCTTGGCTGACTGTGATTTTCCCATGATGTCAAGCAAAGAGGCACTGAGTTTGAAGGTAGGCCTTGAAATACATCCACAGGTACACCTCCAATTGACTCAAATGATGTCAATTAGCCTATCAGAAGCTTCTAAAGCCATGACATCATTACCTGGAATTTTCCAAGCTGTTTAAAGGCACAGTCAACTTAGTGTATGTAAACTTCTGACCCACTGGAATTGTGATACAGTGAATTATAAGTGAAATAATCTGTCTGTAAACAATTGTTGGAAAAATTACTTGTGTCATGCACAAAGTAGATGTCCTAACCGACTTGCCAAAACTATATAGTTTGTTAACAAGAAATTTGTGGAGTGGTTGAAAAACAAGTTTTAATGACTCCAACCTAAGAATATGTAAACTTCCGACTTCAACTGTATATATATATATATATATATATATATATATATATATATACAGTGCCTTCAGAAAGTATTCATAACCCTTGACCCTTCCACATTTTGTTGTGTTAAAGCCTGAATTCAAAATGTGTTAGATACATTTTATTTTCTCACATCTACACACAATACCCCCTATTGACTAATTGAAAACATGTTTTTATACATGTTTGCTAATTTATTGAAAATGAAATTCAGAAATATCTAATTGACATAAGTATTCACACCCCTGAGTCAATACATGTTAGAATCACCTTTGGCAGCGATTACAGCTGTGAGTGTTTCTGGGTAAGTCTCTAAGAGCTTTGCACAGCTGGATTGTACAATATTTGCACATTATTCTTTTTTAAATTCTTCAAGCTCTGTCAATTTGGTTGTTGATAATTGCTAGACAGACATTTTCAAGTCTATTTAAGTCAACACTGTAACTAGGCCACTCAAGAACATTCAATGTCATCTTGGTTAGCAACTACAGTGTATATTTGACCTTGTGTTTTAGTTTATTGTCCTGCTAAAAGGTGAATTTGTCTCCCAGTCTAAAAACATAATTCCACTTTGACATTATGGGGTATTGTGTGTAGGCCAGTGACCCAAAAATCTCAAAATGTGGAAAAAAATCAAGGGTTGTGAATACTTTCTGAAGCCACTGTGCATTCGGAAAGTATTCAGACCCCTTGACTTTTTCCACATTTTGTTACGTTACAGCCTTATTCTAAAATGGATTAAATAAAACATTTTCCTCATCAATCTACACACAACACCCCATAATGACTAAGCGAAAACAGGTTTTTAGAAATTTGTACAAATTTATAAAATAAAATAAACTGAAATACCTTATTTACATAAGTATTCAGACCCTTTGCTATGAGACTCGAAATTGAACTCAGGTGCACCCTGTTTCCATTGATCATCCATGAGATGTTTCTACAACCTGATTGGAGTCCACCTGTGGTAAATTCAATTGATTGGACATGATTTGGAAAGTCACACACCTGTCTATATAAGGTCCCACAGTTGACAGTGCATGTCAGAGCAAAAACCAAGCCATGAGGTCGAAGGAATTGTCCGTAGTGCTCAGAGACAGGATTGTGTCGAGATGTGGGGAAGGGTACCATCAACTTTCTGCAGCGTTGAAGGTCCCCAAGAACACAGTGGCCTCCTCCATTCTTAAATGGAAGAAGTTTGGAACCACCAAGACTCTTCCTAGAGCTGGCCGCCCGGCCAAACTGAGCAATCGGGGGAGAAGGGCCTTGGTCAGGGAGCTGACCAAGAACCCAATGGTCACTCTGACAGAGCTCCAGAGTTCCTCTGTGGAGATGGGAGAACTTTCCAGAAGGACAACCATCTCTGCAGCACTCCACCAATCAGGCCTTTATGGTAGAGTGGCTAGACGGAAGCCACTTCTCAGTAAAAGGCACATGACAGCCCGCTTGGAGTTTGCCAAAAGGCACCTAAAGGACACTCGGACCATGTGAAACAAGATTCTCTGGTCTGATGAAACCAAGATTGAACTCTTTGCCCTGAATGCCAAACATCACATCTGGAGGAAACCTGGCACCATCCCTACAGTGAAGCATGGTGGTGGCAACATCATGCTGTGGGGAGGTTTTTCAGCGGCAGGGACTGGGAGACTAGTCAGGATCGAGGGAAAGATGAACGGAGCAAAGTACAGAGAGATCCTTGATGAAAACCTGCTCCAGAGCGCTCAGTACCTCAGACTAGGGAGAAGGTTAACCTTCCAACAGGACAACGACCCTAAGCACACAGCCAAGACAACGCAGGAGTGGCTTCGGGACAAGTCTCTGAATGTCCTTGAGTGGCTCTGGAGAGACCTGAAAATAGCTGTGCAGCGACCTGACAGAACTTGAGAGGATCTGCAGAGAAGAATGGGAGAAACTCCCCAAAACAGGTGTGCCAAGCTTGTACCGTCATACCCAAGGAGACTCGAGGCTGTAATTGCTGTCGAAGATGCTTCAACAAAGTACTGAGTAAAGGGTCTGAATACTTATGTAAATTTGATATTTCATATATATATCATTTTTTATAAATTAGCACACAAAGTCTAGAAACCTGTTTTTGCTTTGTCATTATGGGGTATTGTGTGTAGATTGATGGGGGGGGGGGGGGGACCATTTAATCAATTTTAGAGTTAGGCTGTAACGTAACAAAATTTGGAAAACGTCTGAATACTTTCCGAATGCACTGTATATTTGTGTATAGACAGTATATGTACAGTGGTAGTTATATAGGATGAGCCATGATTATAATACAGTATATACATATAAAGTGGGTGAAACAGTATGTAAACATTATTAAAGTGACCAGTGTTCAATGACTTAATACAGTGCATTCAGAAAGTGTTCAGACCCCTTGACTTTTTCCACATTTTGTTATGTTACAGCCTTAATCTAAAATTGATCTAATTGTTTTTTTTCCTCATCCTGAATACTTTCCGAATGCACTGTAGGTCAGCAGTCTCTAAGGTGCAGGGTAGACTACCGGGTGGTAGCCGGCTAAAATAATGACTAAGGTACTGGGTGGAGGCCGGCTAGTGGTGACTGTTTAACAGTCTGATGGCCTGGAGATAGAAGCTGTTTCTCAGTCTCTCGCTCCCAGCTTTGATGCAACAGGTGAGCAGGCCGTGGCTCAGGTGGTCGAGGTCCTTGAGATAGGGCAATCGTTGGGAGCAGTCGTTCCCCCCTGGACTTTCCCACCCTTTCTTCTCCTTCTACTTCAACTTTTCAGACAGGTGATGGAGACGCCAATGGCTGTTGAGGATCTACAGAGAGGGAGGGAAGTTGAGTCTAGAGAGGACTTGCACTTTGAAGAGGACTATATGGAGGAGGCACATTCTGTGGAGAGCAGCCTAATGGCAGCACTAACCCACCATGAGAGAAGCATGTACAGTGCCGGATTTGCGGTTCAAGCACACATCACTGAGGTGGTACGCCCTGTGGAGAGGTGTGTGGAACATACCTTTGTCCAGGTGCAGGGGAACATGGACAGTGTGGGGCTGCTCTTTGAGGAGTGCATCAAGGAGGTGGGCCGTCTAGAAAGTCAAAGGGATGAATTGGTACGGGAGCTGTTGCAGCTGGAGCAGCCCATGCTGCATGCTACTGTGGCTCTGAGGGGACAGTTGTTAGAGGCACATAGAGTTCTCACTAGTGTCCAGCTGGAGTTTATTAATCTGCAGATAGAGGTGGGACAGGTGAAGAGTAAGCTGTTTGTCACAGCCAGGGACTGTGTCCAGAGCCAGCTAGCGCTGGCTGCACAGCAGTATGAGGTGGCCCAGTCTGCAGTCACACAGGTAAGGTGGAGTGGAAACCCCACAGCATAGCATATAAGCTTTTGTGAGAATGCAGTTAATGTACCATTAATATACTGAGTGAGGGGGTAACAGTATGAGGGGTGTTGACATTTTCCTGTGATTTGTGCTCTTTTTTAGTGTGTGTTCTTTGTCATCCCTTTGTTGTGATGTTTCAGTGTTGACATGTTATTATATTGTTGATGGGTGCTACCACAGATTTGTTATTGCTGTGTTAATGGCTGTCTGTCATCCAGAGTTAATCACACATTCTTGTGTTAGTATGAAGGCCAACTTTGCTGTCATTGCTTTTTCTGCCCCTAGGAGGAGCTCCAGGCCCATGTCCAGAGTCTCACCGAGGAGGTAGCCCAGCTTCAGGAGACCCAGCACAACCAGCTGAACACCCTAAAGGACCGGGCCAGACAACCATCCCGCCCTCGGGCTATGAGCGATGTCACTCACTGCCGACGAGCATCCCTGGACCTGCAGCGGCGCCTCAGTGGCAGCATGAGGAATCTAGAAGGCTGGTACGAGCCGCGCCTACTAGCCCTGCTCCGGAGGAGGCAGGCTGGGGAGGAGACCCTGAGGAGGAGCAGGGATGTGGGCCAGGACCTGAAGGCCAGACTGGGGCCCCTGAAGGAGCAGATCCAGAGGCAGGAGCTGCAGAGAGCTTGTCTAGAGGAGAGGATTGCTCTGATGGAGAGGGAGAGGGTGGAGAGAGTGGCACAGTATAAGGTACAGGGGGGAATAGGAACATGTGCTGTTTTGTAGCCCGTAAAGGTGGGGTGTAATTGTTCTCATTTCTTCTCATCAGGACACTGTGGACTCTCTTGAGGAGACCATGAGGAAGCTGAAGCTGGATCTTTGCATTCAGAAAAAGGCAAACAGACAATTGGAAGAATTGAAGAAGGGACTTTTGAGAGAGCTGAACTATGACAGGTAGGGTGTGGTATGCTACTTATCTGGCCATTTTGACCCTAAGGAATCTGACAGTTTTCATTGAATACATTAAATGAATATTTAAAGTCTGGACTACTTACAATTGTCATTAAACACTGAACAAAAATATATATACGCAATCATTCTGATTGGCTGGGCCTATGCCCTCACGTCTGCCCAGTCATGTGAAATCCATAGATTTCAGCCTGATGAATTTATTTAAATTGACTGATTTCCTAATATGAACTGTAACTCAGTAAAATCTTTGAAATTGTTGCATTTATATTTTTGTTCAGTATAGACGAACATGTACAATAAATATTTCAGGGAGTCTCAACATGCTGTTTGTTTTTTACAGGGGCTGTATTGAAGTGAATGAAACTGCTTGAAGGGAGTCCTAATTTTTCCATACTTGTCAATGGAAGTAGGACAGTTGACAAAATATTCAGAACCCCTCAGACCAAACATGTTGTACTGTGCTTGTGATGGTGCATTTAGCCAATAATGTCAGTTATTGGTGCACTTAATCTGCTCTTAGTGCATCAACAATGGCGTTATGATAGTTGGCCTTAACTATGAGATCAGCCTGTCTTAACTGTAAATGAAAGGTCTACGGTAAATACATTTTTATTATGAATACACTTACAAAACATGGGAATCCGATGCAGATGTGGCATACAAAGAAAAGACACATAGGGATGATATACATACAAAGCTCGAAAGCGGAAATCTACAATTCAGATGTCATGGGAATAAAATGAAAATCTATGTACAATTTCTTATGAAACTGGAAATGTGTTTTAATGACTCATGTTTCCAAGAACATAACCAACACAAGGAGCATAATTTAAGATGAAAGAAACAAATCCCCCAAAATGCTATAACAATTGGGTGCCTACTCAACTGTAGTCAAACATATCAAACAGTAGGATCCTTTCTTATATAAATATATGCAAAACCTTGATGCCATGACAGTGAAAGAAGCACTTAATTTGTTTCCCCCTACAAAACAACTCACTGTTGTGCAATTTTTTTTTAAAGACATTTGAATGTTGTAGTGTCCAGTTAAACAATTTATGTGTTTTGAGGATGTGATCAAGGGAGGGGTGTTGTGTGATTGACAGATGTCACTCATGCCTGGACCTCAGTGTCTGCTGCTCCCTCTGGGTCCTCATCATTGTAGATGTTCTCAGCCTGGAGGATGGAAAGACATTCTTAGTACTCCTGCTTAGAATCACAATTATTTATACATATTACAGTACAATAGTAATACTAGTAGCAGTAATAATAATAATAATAATAATAATAATGTGCTAGTGCTTCTGCCAAGCTTTCAAAACATATGCCTCATGAAATGAATAAATATGAACAGAATAAATGTACCGTATTTTCCGCACTATAAGGCGCACTTAAAAGCCTTTAATTTTCTCCAAAAACGACAGTGCGCCTTATAATCCGGAGCGCCTTATATATGGATCAATTGGTTAATTGGTTGATCCATGCTGGTTGTACACGCCGCTCAAGGCGCTCTGTCAAAATGTTTCAGTATGAAAAACCAATTTAATAATAATGAAATGTTTCAGTACGACTGGTACACTACAAAGCCGCACCGCTTGCAGCATTACGGCTACCGTTGTCAGTAAACACTGGTACTGTGCTTACTCACAGTCCCACACCACTTGTCTGTGTATAAAGACCCCAAAATGGCAGCTTTCAAGAGACACGCTTACGACGCAGAGTTCAAGCTCAAGGCTGTCGGTCACGCAGTAGAATATGGGAATAGAGCAGCAGCGAGAGAATTCAACATTAATGAATCAATGGGCTGATATATCAGTCTCAACTGTGGTCCAAGCTTTCACGAAGGCAGGAATAATCTCTAAACTGCCAGGCAACAGCAGCGACACTGACTCGGATAATGACGAGAGGGAGCCGGGCAGGTTGGATGCCGTAGTCGCCCAACTGTTCAATTCGGACACTGAAGAAGAAGAATTCGAGGGATTCGTGGACGGGGAATGAACTGAAAAAGTGAGCTTTACGTGTTATACGTAACTGAACAATGTTGAGTTATGCACTAACGTTTGATTTAGTGGTATCAGACTGTTTCTTTTACTATGTGTTTACTGAATCAGGGAAAAGTTCCCCTCCACGTTTGGGAGAAGAGTGAGCAAGGCTGGGAGATATTGTTAATATGCACATTAACGTTTGAACAATGTTACCATGGGAGTGAACGGAGTTGTCAGAACGCTTAATCCAGGCTCTGTCGTAGCTGGCCGCGACCGGGAGACCCATGGGGCGGCGCACAATTGGCCCAGCGTCGTCCAGGGTAGGGGAGGGAATGGCCGGCAGGGATGTAGCTCAGTTGGTAGAGCATGGTGTTTGCAACACCAGGGCTGTGGGTTCAATTCCCACGGGGGGTATAAAAAATAATGTATGCACTAACTGTAAGTCGCTCTGGATAAGAGCGTCTGCTAAATGACTAAAATGTAAAATGTAAATGTTAATAAAGTTTGACTTTATCTGACTGTTTTGTTGACATTCCCTTTAGCACAGCTCCATCTAGTGGATGCATAACGCAACCCCAGTCAATCGTTTGACTATCTTCTATTCTATGCGCCTTATAATCCGGTGCGCCCTATATATGAAAACAGTTCTAAAATAAGCCAGTCATTGAAGGTGTGCCTTATAATCCGGTGCGCCTTATAGTGCGGAAAATACGGTAACTATTCTCTATAGCCTCCCACTGTATGACAGAGCCCCATCTGTCCTGGGGTCTTACCATCTGCCAAACTTGCATGATGTTGTCCTCAGACACAGAGCAGATGACCCAGGGCTCATTGGGGTTCCACGAGAAGTCTGAAATCTTAGCCGTGTGACCGCCGTGAATGAACAGCAGTTCAGGTGGACCATCCTCAGCATCCTCTGGTGACTGCTCCTCTCCGATTTTACTGAGGTCCCACACGTTGAGTCGTCTGTCTGTGCCACTGGAGGCCAGGATGGTTTCATTATGAGGAGACCATTGGACCTAAAGGGAGGAAAGGAGGAGAGATGGGTTTGACGCGACATTTACGTCATTTAGCAGTCGTATCTTATGCATACATTTTCATACTGGCCCCCCGTGGGAAACGAACCCACAACCCTGGCGTTGCAAGCGCCATGCTCTACAAACTGAGCTACACGGGGCCCAGTAACCTAGTAATATATACACCATCTGGTTCAAAACACACAGCTTTTGCAAAACAAACTTCAAAGGGAATAATTGACAGCTTATTGACTTAACATACCTGGAAGATCTCATCTTTGTGAGACTCAAACGAATGCAGCTTCAGTTTCAGGTTCCTCAGGTCCCAAAGAGCCACAGTCTGAAATGGGAGAACCAATCCGTTACAATCACCACCACAACAACCAGTTAAATCAACACTACTGCTTCACTAACTACATTATTATGAAGAATTGAGAGCAGTAAGAGATCCAGACCACCTTGTCTGCTGAGCCCGAGGCCAGGATGAACTCGCTGTAGGGGTTGAAGGACAGACAGTTGACCTCGGCAGTGTGGGCGTCCACAGCATGGCTAGGCTTGGACGTGTTGTTGGATCGCGTGTCCCAACTGCACAGTAAACAATGTTATTGTTCAATAAGCAACACCAAACATTGCGGATGCTATAACTCATTTTGGTCATACGAGCTTAGCAACTTGTTTTTCTATTGAAATCCATTGTCCACTGGGGGAGTTGCTCATCTCAGGGAGCCTTACATCATGAGTTTCTGGTCATCAGCTACAGATCCAAAGAGCGACTCATGCAGTAGATGCCAGGAGACGTCCTCCACTACGGCTGTGTGTCCAGTGAAGATGGTCTTAGCGTCTACAACCTTCCCCTCCTTAGGAACGGCACTGATGTCCCACATACAGATAGTCTGCAGACAGACGGGAAACAAGGGAAGGTGAGAGGAAAGACAGGGAAGAAGACTGTTCAAGCACATGCTTTGGGTCAAGTGAAAAGTCACTCACATGGTCATCAGAAGCGCTGAGGAGGCAGCCACTCAGGTTGGGGTTCCAGGAGAGACCATAGCCCTCTTTCTGGTGTCCCCTCAAACGCAGATCTGGTGTGCACTCTCCAGATGGATCTGTAATACAGAGGTAATGACATGTTATTTCAAAGGAAATGAGAAAGCAGGACTGACTTCCTGGCCAACCTCTAAATACCCACCTGGTTTGGAGGGATGTTTGGTGTAGTCAAAGACAAGCACATCGCTGGTTGGGGTTTTGGTGGCGATAATGCAGGGGTTCTGGGGCATGTGGCGGGCTCTGTTCACCTCTCCCTCATGGTTGATCTTGATTTCAATCTCTATCTTACCGCTGACTGAGCCAAAGCCTCCAAACTCTGAAGGGAGAGAGGCAGAGAAATGAGCTACAGAGAAAATGACCAATGTATATCACCACAGGTACAATATTTTGAATGAACCAAAGCCTGAAAACATGCAGAAAGGTAATTGTAGCAAAAACATTGTCCCTCACCACCTTTCTCACTGTCGTAGTGAGAGGCATCAAACTGAGCATCATCATTAGGCAGTTGCACGCTGGCGATGACCAGGTGATTCTGTTCATCTGAGGTGTGTGTGCCAAGAACCAGCCTGTGAACGCTGAAATCCTTCCCTTCAGGTCTAAAAGGATAGAAAGAAATGTGTTACAAGACAAATAGGTCCATTTAAATAACACTTTTCTTGTCATATGTAATAGGGGGCATTAGCTAGAAACGCAATGTGGTCCACACAAGGATATCTTTGCAACAACACATATGGAGACCGAAAACAATCTTCCTGAAGAAACCTTCCCACTCCCAGTAATCTTGCAAAGGCAGCGTACAAAGGCTGATCTGTGATCGGCACAAGTATCTGGTATTCTTGGGAATTATAGCTATATATTCAGGGACGCCTGATTTTTCTTTTTATGGGGTGTAAAAAATAAAATGGGTATAATAGTGTACGGTAATAACAAAAAAAAGACATGTAATGACATTCGGCATTTGTCATTAGGAACACTTGAAGCCTGAATTGATTGATGCGTCCACTGTGATCCGCGAGTGTCACGGTCCCGGCCAGTCATCTCTGCCTTGGCAAAATGTTAGTGCTCAGATTAGATGTTGAACCACACCGCATTTTGGAGCGAATACCACCCGTTTTTAAGTCCATTCGTTAATTTTTTCCATGCGGTTGACAGGCAGTAATGACACATTATGGTGTAATAATAGCCTACAGTTTTCTTGCCATCTTTGTTTTAATTGTGATAGGCTCATGTTTTACCCCCACCATTTATTTTACCGGTACTCCGAACCGGCTTACTTTCACCCCTAATTCAGATATTTTTCTGCTTATAATTTCCAACATTTGGTAGGCTATTTGTTTGTCAACTTGTTTATAATGAGATATTCAGCTTCTCTTCTGTAATTACTTGTTGAACTAAAATACTAAATAAAGAGGAATATCATTAATTGATAGAATGAATGCATCAACAATAATCTAGTAGTTGACATCGGTAAAGTTTTTTCATTTCTGCTTGCAGAGCTAGGATGTGTAGAGACCAGGGAGAAAATGCAATAACCTAAAACAGCAGAAGGACATTTTGCAGGGAAAATCTAATTGACATCAGTTTAAAGGTTAAGGAAATAAAAAGCTGTGAAAACAATCCAACATGAGTCTGATAAAATTTCAGTTTGTCTTGGATGCATATTTCATGTGGTTGAAATAGCCTACGGTCAGCTTTTATGTCACTGACAAAGACAGCACCTTTGCACGGTCCCTAACCGCACATTCCATTCTCTAAAGAGTCTGCAATAAATCATATTTCTCCACTCCTGTTCCCAAGACAAAATTCACATTGGGTGTATCATTTTACTGCAATAATTAAATACTTAATTCTGCAGGAATTAATATTATATTAGGCTACATGTGGTAGTTATAGCCCTACAGTCAGTGTCCAGACTTCAGTTACTATTCCATTAAACCCATCTGAACATCCAAAGGTACGCAAACCAGGGGGTGGGGGCGCACCCCTACTCCCGCCGTTCCTGTAGCTATGTATTCCTATATAGAGGTACCCCGACAGTGAACCCCACCTGGTGACATCAGGCAGCCACTGTGCAGTGAGGCTGGGCCACTCCAGGGCGTGGGTCATCACCAGGTCATAGAGGAAGGGCGTGTTCTTCTTCCAAATCTTGTACTCCTCATTTATCACCCTCTCCTCCACAGCATCATCAAACGCAGCTGTAAAATAGTATGAAAGTCACGTGAGACAGGCTTGAACGTAAAATATATTAGAAGCAACCCATTGTAAGGAAATATAGGTGTGATTGAGAAGGGGAACCCTATTAACATTGAGTAAGTGTTCTGTAAACTTAACTAGGTAGCTACGTTCGTTAACACTGACAGGGTTTCCCTGTTGTTGTTAGCAAACGCTGGTTAGTATTGACCAACCGAGCTAGCTCATTACTCCCCCAAACAAGTTGTCTCTTGACATAAAACAAAGCTAAATTTAGTAGCTAACCTTTAGAATACATTCTGCTTACTAGCTAACGTTAGCGGGCTACTACTAACTTGCTCAATTGTATAAAATAATGAATGAATTATCTTCACGATACGCCGGGAGACCCCGTCCTTCCTGGCCTACCTTAGCTAGCTAGTTTTCCCAAGTGGTCTGGGCGCTATTCTTGTTGAGGTAAATTGTGACTTAACTTTTGAACGAAATTACCTTCTTTATCAGCCATGGCGTTGAAATATTACGAAAGTATGTTTTCAGAAACAGGGCTTTGTTGAGAGCAAACACAACGCAGCCAGACTACTTTGGCGGGAACTCCGTAGAGCTAATCAGCGTCAACTAAGCCGGAAAACGTCGTATTTGCGTTTTTCAAAAAAAAACTGGATTACGAAGCTTTTGTCAAATTCCCGTAAAAGGTAGATTTTTTTGCATATTAGCTAACCTTAACCCTAACCCTTTTCATAACCTTAACATAATTATCCTAACCTGCTACGGAAAGGCAAATCTGACAAAAGCTGGATCCCTTCTAGCCTTAACCGATTCATACAGAATGTGCTATCTGGTATCCTTGGGACGTCCACACCCTAACATTTTTTTTTTTTTTACCTTTATTTAACCAGGTAAGCCAGTTGAGAACAAGTTCTCATTTACAACTGCGACCTGGCCAAGATAAAGCAAAGCAGTGCGATAAAAACAACAACACAGAGTTACATATGGGGTAAACAAAACAAAGTCAAAAATACAAACATAAAATATATATACAGTGTGTGCGAATGTAGTAAGTTATGGAGGTAAGGCAATAAATAGGCCATAGTGCAAAATAGTTACAATTTCGTATTAACACTGGAATGATAGATGTGCAAAAGATGATGTGCAAATGGAGATACTGGGGTGCAAATTAGCAAAATAAATAACAATATGGGGATGAGGTAGTTGGGTGGGCTAATTTCAGATGGGCTGTGTACAGGTGCAGTGATCAGTAAGCTGCTCTGACAACTGACGCTTAAAGTTAGTGAGGGAGATAAGAGTCTCCAACTTCAGAGATTTTTGCAGTTCGTTCCAGTCATTGGCAGCAGAGAACTGGAAGGAATGGCGGCCAAAGGAGGTGTTGGCTTTGGGGATGACCAGTGAGATATACCTGCTGGAGCGCAGACTATGGGTGGGTGTTGCTATGGTGACCAGTGAGCTAAAATAAAACGGGGATTTGCCTAGCAGTGATTTATAGATGACCTGGAGCCAGTGGGTTTGGAGACGAATATGTAGTGAGGGCCAGCCAACAAGAGCGTACAGGTCACAATGGTGGGTAGTATATGGGGCTTTGGTGACAAAACGGATGGCACTGTGATAGACTACATCCAATTTGCTGAGTAGAGTGTTGGAGGCTATTTTGTAAATGACATCGCCGAAGTCAGTTTTACGAGGGCATGTTTGGCAGCATGAGTGAAGGAGGCTTTGTTGCGAAATAGCAAGCCGATTCTAGATCTAGATTGGAGATGCTTAATGTGAGTCTGGAAGGAGAGTTTACAGTCTAACCAGACACCTAGGTATTTGTAGTTGTCCACATACTCTAGGTCAGACCCGCTGAGATTAGTGATTCTAGTCGGGTGGGCGGGTGCAAGCAGCATTTGGTTGAAGAGCATGCATTTAATTTTACTAGCGTTTAAGAGCAGTTGGAGGCTACAGAAGGAGTGTTGTATGGCGTTGAAGCTAATTTGGAGGTTTGTTAACACAGTGTCCAATGAAGGGCCAGATGTATACAAAATGGTGTCGTCCGCATAGAGGTGGATCCGAGCTTCACCAGCAGCAAGAGCAACATCATTGATATACACAGAGAATAGAGTCAGCCCGAGAATTGAACCCTGTGGCACCCCCATAGAGACGGCCAGAGGTCCAGACAACAGGCCCTCCGATTTGACACATTGAACTCTATCTGAGAAGTAGTTGGTGAACCAGGCGAGGCAGTCATTAGAGAAACCAAGGCTATTTAGTCTGCCAATAAGAATGCAGTGGTTGACAGAGTCGAAAGCCTTGGCCAGGTCGATGAAGACGGCTGCGCAGTACTGTCTTTTATCAATCGCGGTTATAATATCGTTTAGGACCTTGAGCGTGACTTGGCTTTCAAATACTTTCGAAAGGCAGGGCAGGATGGATATAGGTCTGTAACAGTTTGGATCTAGAGTGTCACCCCCTTTGAAGAGGGGGATGACCGCGGCAGCTTTCCAATCTCTGGGGATCTCAGACGTTACGAAAGAGAGGTTGAACAGGCTAGAAATAGGGGTTGCGACAATTTCGGCAGCTAATTTTAGAAAGAAAGGGTCCAGATTGTCTTGCCCAGCTGATTTGTAGGGGTCCAGATTTTTCAGCTCTTTCAGAACATCAGCTGTCTGAATTTGTGGGAAGGAGAAGCGGGGGGGGCATGGGCAAGTTGCAGTGGAGGGTGCAGAACTGGTGGCCGGGGTAGTGGAAGCCAGGTGGAAAGCATGGCCAGGCGTAGCAAAATGCTTGTTGAAATTCTCGATTATTGTAGATTTATTGGTGGTGACAGTGTTTCCTAGCCTCAGTGCAGTGGGCAGTTGGGAGGAGGTGCTCTTATTTTCCATGGACTTTACAGTGTCCCAAAACTTTTTGGAGTTAGTGCTACAGGATGCAAATTTCTGTTTGAAAAAGCTAGCCTTTGCTTTCCTAACTGATTGTGTATATTGGTTCCTGACTTCCCTGAAAAGTTGCATATCGCGGGGGCTGTTCGATGCTAATGCAGTACGCCACAGGATGTTTTTGTGCTGGTCAAGGGCAGTCAAGTCTGAGGAGAACCAGGGGCCAGGTCAATTAGAATTGACCTGGCCAGGATACCCGGGCCAGGTCAATTAGAAAGGCCTGCTCGCTAAAGTGTTTTAGCCATTTAAGTTTTTAAATGGTTAGGGTAGGGACGTCCTTAGGATTCCGTACAGCACCTGACCGCAGCACGAAGTCAAAATTGGCTATATCGTACAAATTCAAACAAAAATGTGCTTTTTGGTCTTAATTGAAGGTTAGGCATAAGGTTAGCAGTGTGGTTAGGGTTAGGTTGAAAATCATAAATAAATGGTAGAAATGCGCTGGGTTTATGACTTTGTTGCTGTTGTAACTAGTGACTACTGCAAAACCTTAATTTTTTACTTTTTCTAAAAATATTATGAACAATAAAACAAAAACAGAAATATAGAAGTTGAGTTGCACGGAAGTCAGAGATTTCCGAGTTCCCAGTTGTTTTGAATGCGGCATGCATTTCAGTTGCCTGGCTGACACGTGACCCACGTGACTACACAGCACTGTGATGTTGCTGCATTCACGTGCTAGTCTGAACTAGTAAACTCGGGAATGTCCGACGTGCTAGTTAATTGTAGTTATACACGTGCCGCGTTCAACCAATTAGCGAAGGTCATATGACGCTAGCTGATTCTATGGTACTGTAGTTTGATGACGCGGTAACGATACGAAGTGGGGCTGCGCGCGGGGGGAATGAGCTAACTCAATGGCGAAAGTCATAAGATTGGGAAGCTGGTGGATGGGCGTGAAGGAGGAGAGCCTCGTAAATGGCGTCCCTTGAGAAAGCAAGAACAAGATGTATGTCAGGAGAAGTGCAGTATTATCATAAGGAGACGTATACTTGGAATACGGAGGAGGAATGGAGGGAAAAAGAGAGGCAGAGGAGGTCTAAGAGAGAGAGGGAGGAAGATTGTGAGCTTGAGTCGGTTAAAAATTGCGTTAAAAAAGGAGAATGTTTGTTAAAGAAGAATGGAAGTGAATGAGGGTGAAGTATCGACGGTGGTAGGTGTGGTGAAGTACTCGGAGCCCGAGGCTTGCACCGAGGGTCAGGATAAAGATGAGTCTGTGACAGTAAGAGTGAAGTTTTTGGAAAAAGTGCACCCGTGCCTTTTGGCTGATCCATTTGTGGTTTCAGGGTGGGTGAAAAAAAGAGTTGGGTATTGTGGAATCGGTGAGGGTAACCAGAAGTGGTCTAGTGATAATTGTTTGTGTTTCTGCTGGTCAGAGGGAGAAGGCGCTCAGAGTAAACAAATGGGGGCAAGAAATGTGAATTGTTTTGCTCTCAAGAAAAGGGTGCCATTGAAAGGAGTGATTACTGGGGTAGCAGAAAATGTAAAAGTTGACCAACTGAAGGGGATCATGCTCGTCGTTTGGTGAGACGCAAACAGGGTGTCGAGAGTGGGGAAACGGAATAGTCATTGTCTGTTCTTTTGAGTTTTGAAGTTGAGTCTTTGCCCGACAAAGTGAAGTTAGGATATATAAGTTATCCTGTATGAGCTTATGTGCCGACACATTACGATGTTACAGGTGTCAAACTTATGGGCAGCAGTGTGTAGGAGGTAGGTTCCAAGGTGTGCAGAAGGGCATGAAATAAAGGAATGTGTAGCATTTGGAAAAGTAGTGGTATGTGCTAATTGTAGGGGTGGCCATGGGGCTGGGGATCAGAAATGTCCCGTGCGAGAGAGGCAGATTGAGGTTTCCAGGGTAAGAGTAGTGAAGAAGTTGTCATATGCTGAGGCAGTGAAGAAAGTAGAGGAAGATAGGTCAAGGGGGAGAGTGGTGAGAGTAGTAGATCTGTACCAGTACAGAGGGATAGGCCAAGAAGTGATGTTTCAGTAAAATTTGATTTTTAGTATTTATAGCAATGGTTATTAATTGTACTGCAGGGATGGGACAGAAGTGGAAGAAAATTGAGGTTGTGGTGGCAGCTGCAGAGAGGTATTTGGGTGTGCGAGACTTGACATCAGTATGAAAAATGTATGCACTCACTAACTGTGTCCCTCTGGATAAGAGCGTCTGCTAAATGACTAAAATGTCACATTTAAGAGTTACTGGGTGTGTTAAGTGGTGATGTCCCATCCTTTCAGGTTGAGGGCATGAGGTAGGAATAAATAGTTTTAAATAGTGGAGTAGGATGGTTTTAATTTAATAAAAAACATTTTTTGCATTTGTGAGTGTGGTGTTAGATGGTAGGGTATAAAAATATAAATATAAGGGAGTTGCACTCCAGTCTAGTAGGTGGCGGTAATGCAACATATTGGATGCCAACCGCCGTTAAACCTCATCGAAGAAGAACCAGTTAGCCAATACGACATTTTCGAGTTTCCTAGTTCCGACTAGCACGTAAACGCGGCATACGACTCAATCGCTGAGGTATGACTCAAGTTAAGAACGTAGTACGTATGATAGCAAGTCTAACATTTCAGCATTTTAGGGATCAAATCAACTAAAGTCGTCGACAATGGATGATCGTGAGCTTGATCTCACAGAGTCACAGAAAGCTACCAAGTCAAAATACCCAGCGATCAACAAGAAGTATGAATGTGAGTTGTGTAGCTAGCTAATGTTATGAACATGCTTGATGGCTAAATTAACTATACTTTAGCTAGCTAACTTTGGTCTGATTTGTTCACCAACATAAATGGGTTTTTGTTGAAATGTACAATGGAAAAGTATGTTTAGCGGGGGAGACCGAGCTCGACCAACAAAAATTGCTTAATTGACACGTTGATATTGTAGGCCTAGTAGATGAATACCCTGACATATTGGATTGAATGTTTACCTTATAGCCCACGATACTGTATTGTAGTATAGTACAGTGGAAAGGGGGATACCTAGTCAGTTGTACAACTGAAATGTGTCTTCCGCATTTAACCCAACCCATCTGAATCAGAGAGGTGCAGGGGTCTGCCTTAATCGACATCCACGTAATCGGCGCCAAAACATGAGTTATTGATGCATTGATCTTGTCATTTGGTTTCTCTCTAGATTTGGACCACACTGCTGATGTACAGTAAGTGGATTACATTACATTAACTACAGCAACTGCTGCTACTACCCATAAACAGTGTATGGTGGCTACTGGCTACACCTTTATTGTGAAATTCACAAAGCCTACCTGATACTGCAGAGCACCTTAGAGCAGCGATCAGTGACTTCACCCCACTCAGTGGCTTTATCTTGCATCTGTGTCATTTACATTTACGTCATTTAGCAGACGCTCTTATCCAGAGCGACTTACAAATTGCGACTCATCACTCTTATGTATGTTCCTAGGCTCCACTCTTGGGGAGACTCGCTGGAGGAGGCCTTTGAGCAGTGTGCCATGGCAATGTTTGGGTACATGACAGATACAGAGACAGTTGAGCCCATTGACACAGTAGAAGTGGAGTCAGAAGGTGAGATGGATTTACAGATGGATTAAAAACAGGCATAATACTCATAGGGAGAGTTCATGGAGCAGATTGTTTCATTTATGGGTCAATATATGAAATACCATTGCATTCAATACATTCTTATAATTTCTCTCTGTTTCTTGACCAGGTGATGACATGGAATCACTTCTCTTCCACTTCCTAGATGACTGGTTATACAAATTCAGTGCAGATCTGTTCTTCATTCCCAGAGTAAGGGCCTTCAATATAATAATGATAAGTCATGTTAGCCAGTGGGACTTCATAGAGCTCTCTCTCTCTCTTACCCCCATCAATAGACATCAATAGATGTTTAGCTTTCTTGGTGCCTGTCAGTATCATTGTGTGATGGCATAGGAGCATGCACATCATTGCATTGCAAAAAATGTATTAGGTTTGAAACATAATTACAACTGGAAGATAACATGTCATTACATTTACCACAAGTGTGTATTTATCTTGTATCCCTCTTCACAGCTCAGTTAATTACCAATGAGCCATTGTTTGCTTCAAATATCTCCTGCTTCAAATGTATTAAGCTTTAAAAAATAAAAATAAAATAAAAAAAGACATCGTGGCAACTATCAATTTAATTTAGCAGTTACAATAATAAGGTATTGCCTAACGTAATTTCTGTCTTCTAGGAAGTAAAGGTTTTGCACATTGACAGGATGCACTTTAAAATCCGCTCCATTGGGTAAGTTGATCTAAAGTTACACACACATCAGGATATAGTTTTTACAGTTTTTGATCACTGGGTGGTACTAATTTACACTTGCATGTGATTGATCCTCTTTTGAGCCACTTGCATTACTCCTAGGTTAAACAGTGTGAGGGGATATGGTGGGTTGGTTTTAGGTTATTAGATTTTCTTCTACCCCTGAGAAAGACATGGGTTGCATGTTATCATGACTCCCTCCCTTAGTTCCTATGCCTGGAGTTCTGTTTTGTTCTCAGCTTCCCTCCATGCCTATCATTCTGTTTTCATCTGCTGTTGTAGGTGGGGAGAAGAGTTCAGCTTGGTCAAGCATCCACAGGTAAGCAAATGGGAGATAATCCTGATAATCTTTCACCATCTCTGGCCTGAACTGACCACACAGAGGTCTGCTGTCTGACTCTATCCTGTCCATAAGACATAATTACTGTTTATGCCCTGATGAAAATGATGTGTATCCAAAACAGTTTGTTTTGAAATTTGAATTATATTACTAAAACTAGATGCATGATTATTATTATTAGGCTTATCAGACTGTTTTCATTGATTGAGAAGAGTCATTTCTGAATACTAATGTTTGTATTTTAGTGTAACTAAACCATCTGTATATTGTCTCTCCAGGGGACAGAGGTGAAGGCCATCACTTACTCAGCCATGCAGGTCCATGACATCGACAAGCCTGAGATCTTTGCCATCATCGACATTTGAGGATTTTCTACAGAGGAACTGTCTCAGAAGGGAACAGGACTATCAGAGCATACCTCTATGTGCCTGGATGAATGGACATTTGATTAAATAATTAAGGGCAGTAGCATAGGTTTTGATCATGAGCTTGTGAAGTGTGATGTTTGCCTCATCAGGAAGCACACCTGGTCGTAATACATGCTGATTATAACTGCTCAGAGTAATCTGGGTGTCTGAGTAGAGTTTACTGAGGAATGCCAATAATTTAGCTTTTTGTTATAATTTTTAAGTATCCCAAATTAATCTCAGAAGTTTCAAGACAAGACCGAATCATCACACAAAATCTAGTTTGCCTACTACTAGGGAACTTAAACATGAATGTATACCCCTTCTTGTGGACTAATACATATTTTTGGGATTATGTACTGTATTTTTACAGGTTGATATTTCTTAAAGCATTTCAATTGCCGCACCTCTCTCAGTGGTAAAGATACCTAAAGGATTCATGCTGGGCACTACTCATTGTAAATAGTCAAATCACAAATTACCTTGTAATAAAACCTTTTCCACACTTCAAGGTGCATGGGGCAGCAGGTAGCTTAGTGGTTAAGAGCGTTGTGCCAGTAACCGAAAGGTCGCTGGTTCTAATCCCCGAGCCGACTAGGTGAAAGATCTGTCGATGTGCCCTTGAGCAAGGCACTTAACCCTAATTGCTCATGTAAGTCGCTCTGGATAAGAGCGTCTGCTAAATGACTAAAAATAAATAATAATAAATAATGTTTTCAGTCATTTCTGTCTGCTGGTGCTTAGGATCCCCACAGTGTGAGGTAAACAACATCCTAAAATACCCTTGAAAAAGGTTAGTAAAACATGGGTGTTGCCTATGATGACATTTATCAGGCTTCTAACCATACAGACCATTGGAAGAAGAATACTTTATGGACATGTTCAACATCATGGTAGCAAACCTTTTCTATAACCCCATTGGACCATCATTGAATACTAATTTATGTCATACAGGCTTTCTGAATTGTTTAATCTATGACACAATAATAATGGTTCAATGGTGTTTAACATGTGGTCCTCTGTAGCTCAATTGGTAGAGCATGGCGCTTGTAACGCCAGGGTAGTGGGTTCGATCCCCGGAACCACCCATACGTAAAAATGTATGCACACATGACTGTAAGTCGCTTTGGATAAAAGCGTCTGCTAAATGGCATATTATTATATTATTATCAATGAATCCAATAGAAAGAAAGAGTACACACACAGAAAGTGCAATAACAGCTTCAGCTTTTGTAACTTCGACAGTGCATCCACCCGGAAAAATGACCAAACACAAATCTGACGACATAAACATTTGATTTGGCTGCTCCATTTCAAAATGATGGAAAAACTTAAAATCTGATGCCACCTGCTAGACTGAAGTTTATTTCCCTAAATCCTCTCCTGGGAGAGGAAACTCCACCCCCAGTGATGAACTGTTATCAATGGAGGGAGTGATATTTTCATTGAGGGGTGTTATGGGAGTGTATCAGAACATTCTATTGAATTTGTGAATCAAACATTGGATTAGAAGACTTGTGTCCTTTCTACCTGGCGAAGATATGTACAGGAAATATTACTTTTGGCAAAGAAGATCTGAAATTACTATTCCAAAAGGATTGCTATTTGTTCTCATACCAATGTCCTAATTGAGGAGGTAACTGAATTGAGGAGGAACTGGAATAACTAGTTGATGGAGACGTGCTGTGGTTATGTACGGATCTCACACATAACAAGTTGATAAGTATGAATGCATGTTTTGGTATTAACTACTTTATCTTCCCTTTTTTGCCGTATTTGAGACATTATTCTTTACCTACACAACCTTAATCTAACCTATAGTACAATGCCACAGACATCTTTGCGGTATACATTGCGGTATACATTTATGTCCACTAGAGGGCAGAAGAGTAACATTTCAGAGACGGCTTTACGGTGGCACAGCACTACTTGGTGATTGATTGGCCCCATCAAAATGAAGATAATGTATTGATGTAAGGCTTTGCTTAAGGATATTCCACCCTTTCAACTCCTAAACAGAGGAAGAGGGAAGAGGTGGTGTACTGTGCTGCCCAATGTTTGTCTTGTCTCTCCCAGAGCCCAACAGTCTTTCATTCATTCATATTCTGGGAATCGGCCTCTCTGACCATTAGAGATGAGGAGAATCCTGCTAATCAAAGTCCTGCTCTGCTTCACAATAACAAATGGACAGTACAGTAGGTGCATGTTAACTTGTGGAGAATAAATTAGGCCTGCAAATCAGATCTAGCCAGCTACATGTGGAGGAAGTAGATTGAAAAGAGATTAGTACACTAAAATGACATTGTCCTTGCACATCACTGTACTGATGATGTGTTGCTATTTGACTGTACCATTTACATACTGTAGGATCCTCTGACATCCTACTCTGTGGAGAAAAATGGATATACAAAAACAAAGATAAACAACAAGTCCAAGATAAACTGACTCAGAATTTTTATAGCGCCCATTCTGATGAAACTCAAAATAGCACAAAGAACTTCTCTCTTCCCTTTGAAATGTTAAATATTTTGAATTTTGAATGACATGTTCTGTCTTGATTACACTGTTATTACTGTAGTCAGGCTGATTTCAATGATGATTCAAAGAACAAAAGGAGTGTTTGTTCTTCTTCCCCTTTTTTACATAAGTCAGTCTCGGAATGCTCTGTTCTCTGAGATCAACATTATGGCTGTTTAGTGTGCAGAGACATTTTGTTTTGTTTTTAAAGCGTAGTGCTGGTGTGCTGTGATATTGATTCAGAGCTTCTATTCCCCATTTCAATGTGAATGCTCCCTCCCCCTGAGATTCAAGATCTTCCCATATGTCTCTGTGTCTCTCTGTGAATGTGTGCATGTGTATGTGTGCATCCGAGAGAGAGAAACATAGATACTTTGCTGAATCAAGGGTGCAGTCACTTTAGCGTCAAATAAAAAATAGAGTTACCTTGTACCTTGCTGCATTATACAGTAATGCAAAGCACTGATTATAGCATTGATTATACAGACTATTCCATTAGCCTCTTGTGCCATTAATTATATACCGCAATTATTTATATACTGTAGCGACCCGCACAGACAGCTGTGTGTTATGTGTTAGGCTAGTAGATGGTTGTGTTGTACCTACCAGTACCCAGTGTTCGCGGGGTCCGACATGTCAATCAACCTGCTATCTGCCAATCACGGGAATGCCTGGAATGTTCTGATGCCGGCATCCTGGCGGTTGGCGGAGTGGCGTGGAGGGGGGTTGGGCAGGGGGATGGAGCATTGGAAGTTAAGACCAGGTTTAGCCTTTGTTCTCTCTCTTTTTACGTCTGGGCTTCACAAGAGAAGGTCACGATTGGCTTGTGGGTTATCTTTCATTTATTTGGCGTGGGCTACGGCCAAACAGTAGCCTGTGTAAAGTTGGTTTAATAAACCGTCCATTCGTAAACTCAATCCTCTGTCTGGACAGTTGTTCTTTTATGATCTAGTCAGGTCATCACATTGGTGTCAGAAGTAAAAACTTTGATAAAAGTTAGCCAGCTAGCTAGCTGACTTCTGTGGCTAGCTACCGTAGGTGAGAACGGGGGTTGAAGATGCTTCGAGGGAATCCGAAAGTGAAGGGGGAGGTAGGGGACGATTATGGCCAAGGAGGTGCGTGTGCATGGACGTCGGGGGTTCTGGCTGAGGAGATCGCCAGGGCATCGGAGCCCAGAGGCCGCTTGAGGGAGGACGTTAGAGTGATGGCGGCTGAAGCGGGCATGAGTGCTTCGTCGACTGTGTTTCGCGCGGATTCTGGTGGGCGGACCGAAGGGGTGACGTCGACGCGGCGGGACGAGGAATCTGGGGCTCAGGATGTAAACAAACATGGCGGCGCCCAGTTCCCGGCTGCGTTCGTATCCGTTAAGACCCCGAAGTATTCCGGTAAGGCGGATTGGGAAGCTTTTCATGCTCAGTTTGAACTGTTAGCTCATTTTAGGGGGTGGTCGGATGAAGATAGGGCACTGCAGTTGGCTTTATGCCTCACGGATGAAGCTCTGGCCTGTTTGATATTGATTAGCCCCGAGGACAGACGTGATTATGGTGCTTTAGTGGGAGCACTGAGGAGGCGCTATGGACAGTGTGTACAGCCCGGGCTACTGCGCTCCGAACTGAGTAATAGACGCAGGCAGCCTGGAGAGCCTCTACGGGTGCTAGCTAATGACATTGAGAGCCTCTCTCGGCGTGCATATGCTCACATGCCCCCCTCCGTGCAGAGCGAGCTAGCACGGGACCAGTTCATGCAGGCGCTCTCTCCTACGGAGCTGCGCATACAGACCCAGCTGGCTCATCCTGAGTCATTGCAGGTAGCCTTGGAGATGGCTTTGGAGAGGGAGCTGGTGTGGGCTGGGGCTTCAGCGGGGGCTTTGGTGGGGGTGCAGGGAGACAGACCCTCTGTGTGAGCTGGGGGGCAGAGCAGCCCGGAGCCGGAAAAGCCTGCATGGGTGGCTGAAATGACAGAACTCATTCGTGCTGTGTCGCTACAGGCGGCACGAAACACACGCCCTGGTCCCAGGGTCTGCTGGGGTTGTGGCCAGCCAGGCCATCTGCGCCGAGATTGCCCCATGTCCCCCAGAGCTCAGGGAAACGGCTCGGGGTCCGCATAGACCGGGTAGTGCGGACCCCTGGCTTTCTATCCCAACCACCATCTTCTTCAGGAGGAGCCCACCGGCACAGACGGGGAAGCAAGGCTCCACTTCCCCCAGAAGCAGACGAGGGCAAGCGGATGGAGCCTGTTGTTGTGGTGGGCCGGACCTGTGTTGGGGACTTTTGTCATGTCCCTGTCACTGTGGAGGGGGTGCCCTGCTCCGCCCTGGTGGACACTGGGTCCACAGTAACCCTGGTGAGGCCAGATATTGTGCCAGGTTGGACTCAGTGTGAGCCTACAACTGTGCAGCTCCGCACAGTCACAGGTGAGCTGGCACCCATGAAAGGGAAGGGAATAATGACTCTGACAGTAGGGGGCAGGACTGTGCGTCATCCTGTGTGGGTGGCGGCTGTGCAGGACCCTTGTATCCTGGGGTTGGACTTTCTTAGGAGCACAGGCTGCCAGTTAGACCTAAATAGGGGCACACTGAGCTTCCAGGGAGGGCCGGAGGTCACCATGGCCCCTAATGTCACATTCACTCAACCCAACAAACCCTTTACTCCAACAGTTAAAGCAGCAGAGACTCATGGCTGCCCCCCCTCCCCCACATCTGGGTGTGACTTTTCCCCAGCCCCCCTGTCACCTACGGCGTTGCGTTACATTCCCCCAGCTACCTCCACGACACAGTCCTCTGTGAGCCCGGGCCGCGCCCCCCCAGCCCAGCTACCCCAGATGGGAGGGGAGAGGACACTGTCTGCAGTGAGGGAGATATGGGGGAGGAACTGTGTTGGTCTTGACCCCGAGCAGCAGGAACGGTTGAGGCAGTTGCTGTTTGAATTCAGAGACAGCTTTGCGCTGAGTGAGGAAGAGGTGGGTCAGACTCATCTGGTGCAGCATGAGATCGACACAGGTGATGCTCGACCTATCAAGATGCGTCCCCGCC